CAAAAACATCACATACATGTATTTCATAATATTTTCATAACGACTGTCATTCAACACACATTACTGGAAGAAAACAATTTCTCTCTCAATTTAAATATTTCAAAACATTCATTTATGCGAAAAACTTTTTTTGTTGCACACATACATACCAGTACTGCAGTGTGAATGAATCTTTCAATAGAAAGTTGAGAATTAATGTGCTGTGAACATCAAACAAATGTGCAGCCCATACTCAAGACCAATAAATCTTTCTGTTTAAATAAAGGAGAAAAAAAACCTACCGAAAAAAGATTTATTGAGCATGGTTGCAAAATAAACTATCAAAGTCTACACTTGTATGTGGTAAATTGGTGAAAACATATCACTTGAAACCATTAAAATGTCAACTTTACGTCCAAACAGCAGTTTTAAACGAGTTTTTGATTGGCATGATCAGTTCACTAAATCCCTGTTGTGTCAAGATATCCCTGTGCAGTAGTTGTTATTTGAATGACAAACTTGTTACAGGGGTCATCAAATTAATGGGGATAGAAAGTACCTGTTGAAACAAGTGATTTATCTCTCTTTAAAACATATAATCATGTAATCTGTAATCAGTCCAGGCTTGCATGAAGAATACACTTTTGACAAGACACCTCTAGATCTACATGTAACAAGAATAGTTTTTAAAAATGTATTTTAAATTTATGCCTATACTGTAAATGTCATAGTGACATTTTTCTGAACTTTGCTGCTCATACACAAGCCAGTTCTGGAATAGAACCACCAACATTCTGTAAGCTAGCTGAAAACCAACTCACAATTTATTAAGAGTATAAATTTTGAAGTCCCTGACAGAATTAAAAAAATTCTGGCAACAAAGTGATCCCTCGGAAGCATTAATCACAACAAAATTACAAGAGAATTGCAGACTCGGTTTGATTGAGTCTGTACATGAGGGATAATGGAAATGTGCAACAGCCCTCACGCCCCCTAGCCCCGGCTTGAGCGGTACTCAATTCTCAACACTTAATAGTGCTGGCATCAATGATCCCGAAGGACCAGAAAATATAACAACTGAAAAACCTATAGGGATTTATAGCCATATTTCAGCACTCAAATACCAAGCTAAAACGTATTTCTTCAAACATATATCTTTCTTGAATTACTAGAGACATTCAAAAATTTACATCTTTATTTTAAAATGAAGAAATATTTTGTTCATTTTTTTTACATTTTAAAAATTCAGTTTCCTGTGCATTTTTTATACATTATATATTATTATGATAGTATTCATAAGTAAAGCATTTACAAAATTATATTAGTTAAGAATGGCCTAGCTGATTGTGTCAGGATTTATTTGAAATACTGCAATCCCATCGGACAAAAAATAATTTCTAACGCAGTTAAAGCAACGACATACATTTTTTTTCTTATAACTCACCGTCTACTAAACTGTCTTTTATCAACTCAAGCATGAGTGACACAAAATGAAATGCAATCTGTCATTACTCACATTTTATGCATTTTTTCGCATATTTTTGTAAAGTTAATATTTCCTAAACATAATAGATGATTCATTTATATAGTGTTGTAAGGAGCCTACTTTACAAAGATCTAGATTTACAACACCTTTTCTCATGCCTGTCAACAAAGGCCAGATAGAAAAGAAACTACTGGTACTTCACACCTACCCTGCAATATTGCCGGTATTAAATGATGCATAATTTTTTCGAAATTTTAAAATGGTGTAAAAACACACTTTATTTACATATGAAATAATTCATAATTATTCATAATAATTAATGTTCAAGTCTTTTTTCCTGAATCTGATTTTCTTTTAGCTTTTTTTGGATAATATGTATTAATTAAATTGGTACATTATTATGGTGCAATTATTATGAAATAGTTTGATACCAATTTTTCTCAGATTGATAATAAAAACCCTGCTAGTTACGTAAATGATACTTACATTGATAATAGGTAGTTTCTACATATAATATTAAAATATTTTACATACAATATTAAAATATTAATTGTTCGATTATGTAGGAAGCTATAAGCTTATAGACACACTTTCGAATCTGTTCCTGGAACCAACCAGTACTGAGAAATGACAATGACTTGTCCTTGATGGGGTAAGGACGGGGTTTGAACCCATGCAGCTTATAATCATTAGATTTCTAGTCTGACGTGTTGACCACTTGGCCATGCCGCCACTGAAGTAGCTGTTATTTTACTATTAACGCAAGTTTTTGCATTTTGATGCTTTTTCTGCAACATTTTTCTTGCAATTTAGAATACAGTATATCTAGAAGTTTAAATGAAAACTGATATTACCTTATTATCTCAAATGTCTACATTACAGTGGTTTTTAAATATCTACCGGTATGTCACAAAAAAAAAACGAATTAAGAAAAGCCCACTTCTTCCTGTACTGTAACTGAAGTATTTTTAATGCTATGTAAAATGAAACTCTTTAAAATGAAGATGATTTTTTTTTCTTTTCCTTTTTTTTGTTGAATTTGAATAAAGCAGATCAGTTTTCTTTAATTTATAGTAGTTTAAGCATATTAAATATCAGGTTTTAATTTAATTTGTGGATTGTATTGTGCAATACAGTAGTAAAATTATCATTAAAAAAAACTTCTGACAGTTATTTCCTTTATTATATATTCATTATATAATGTTACAGAACAGAACAGAACATATACTTTATTTTATAATGACACAAATTACAATATACAAGTATAATGTAATATTTATGACATGTGAACAAAATTATTACATTAAAGTAAAATATCTAATGTTTGATATATTTTGAATTTTTCATTTTTTAAAGAAAATGGGGTAATAAGAATATTTTCATAATACAAATACATAATACAACAGTTACTACAGCACTATAGAATATTCTGTGAAAATAAACCAATAAAATTAATATCTCTGAGCAAACAAAAGAAAATTTGTTGCAAATTAATGCATTTTGCTGACTTTTGATGAGGTATTTGTTTTTTCTTAAAAATACATATTGAATGATAGCTTTTATGCAGCATGCCTTAAGATTCATTCACATTTCTATGATTAAAAAAAAATCTTATTTTGTAAGATATTTCATTATCATTCCTAAAAGGCCTTATGGCACAGATGAAAGTTGGTGTAGGCATAGAGTACTGGACTCCTAATTCTGATGTTGTGGGTTTGAATCTTATCTCCTGTGAGTTTTTCTTTCAACTTTTATCCACACTGTTTTATGCAATTACCAAGAAAGCGGTCATCTTGCATAATTTTAAGCAATTTGTTCCTCAAAAAGGGGTCTGACATTTGAAGAAAACCAAACAAACCACAAAATCATAGATTGTTTTTGCAACCATCTACAAAACATATTTATATTTCTCATCTTAAGATACTATTGAGATTATCTGATAAAAATTATCACAACTGTATTGTTTTATGGGTGGCACTATAAGGGCGCAACACAACAATCTACCTGGCATTTACACTTTAAAGCTTTCCCTTATCTCATCTGGAATAAACAGCTCTGTCAGGTAATAAAATGCAAAACATGTCAGCTGCCTAAAAAAACTGCAGAAACAGTTTGGATGTCTACCAATCAGCCAAGTATTGACACCTGTTCTGCCACTGGTGTAAAGCCATTAGTGCACTGTTCTGGAAACAATTACTGAGCTCAGCTTCCATTCCTGGTATAGATAGAGATTTTATAGAATGTAATGCCATCAAATCTCAATAAAATTGCAATCAGAAGTATGTCCATGATTATAATCTCAAGGTTTTTTTTCCTCCTTCTCATCAACTATAGCATTATATAGTATTCTCAGACATTTGTATCAAGACTAGTTCTATAAAAATATATGGTTAGCTATGAATTTTTATCATAAGGTAGGTGGAGCAGTCAAGGCTAGATGAAATTTCAAGATAAGTACAATTAATAAGAAACAAGATTCAGCACCTGTGTAAATTTAGTTCATGGAAAAAAAAAAAAAAATTTAACCCTTGGCCTGCTGGTGGCAACTGAATATACCTGTACCACCAGTGCAGACCAAGACCAGCTTCCACATCTGGTCATGGTTTGCACCGTTCACAATTCAGTCAGTGCATATTCTAAAATTTTCTCTAAATTCTGATAATGGGTTTGCCCGAATTGAGTGATGGACAAGTACATTAAATATACATGTCTTTAAAGTGATAAAGATTAATATATCAACACATACCAACTGCACAAAATCTCCATGAAACCTAAAAGTAATATATATAGCTGCAAATGCAAATCAGTGCATTATGACAAGATCTATTTTTTTCTTGTAAATTTAGTACTGATACAAGTACTAATGGTGAGTACCCGGTAGTTTAAAGGTTACCAACTTTAAATTACTTGCCCCCTCATATTGCCATTTTCAATCTCACCAAGGACTTCTTTCATTTGAGGAAGCTATGTGCAGCTAGATTAATTTTGACCCTTTATGACATCTCTGTAACTGACATATTTGAAAATATTTGCTGACATCAAACATAAAATAAACAGCCTTTATACTAGAGTTTTTAACATCAATTAAACTCATTTAATAATAACTTGTCTGTTCATAGACCACATCTTTGAATGAAAAACAATTTAACACCACTCTAAATAAACAGCATTTGCAAATCTGCCAAAATTCACAAAAAAACACCCTATTATTCTAAAAGTTGCTTTAAGGTAAACAGTTAATGATAAAGATTCATAGTCTTACTGATTAACTATTTTAGATACAACAAGTGTTTAAAAAAAAAATGAAATTAAGACACTTGAGAAATTGTTACATTAGAGCACTTCAAACACATTTTAAAACCACATTTACAGTTGGCTAAAATATATACTGGGTACAATAAAACCCAATATTTTTTTTTATCTGTGAAGTCTAAAATTTCCTCAACTTTAAGCTTCAGAGGGGAAAAAATCATACAAATGTTGTACAGAAGTAAGATGTAATAGGGTAATAAATCTTTATATAGACAGTACTTACTGTATCAAAGTCAGGTGGGGGCTTTAAGATTGGTCCATTGTTTATATCTTCAGTTTTCTTATCTCTGAACATCACTGGTGGCTCAATATTCATCTTAAATCCATTCTTATCCAACTTTTCTTTCAAATGCTTTTTATTTTTGTGCTCTTCCTTCTTTTTTGATAATAACCCCTCTAATGAATGACGCTTTGGTTCAATTCCATCACTTTCTGATTCAATGTGATTTAAGTGCCCTTTTTTACTAACTTTCAAAGATGATCTTTTTATACTTTCATTCGACCCACTTCTACTGCCTGTGTCAATTTTAGGGATATCTACACTCACTACTTTGAAAATTCTGAACATAGTTGGCGGACAAGAGTACTTCCTTTTAAATGTAGAATTTCTAATTAAATCCTCGTTATCAAGATTGTCCTGTTCTTTTACATCCTGATCTTTTCTATGAGGATTTAAACCACTTGACAATGAACTTAATTTAAGATCTTTACATCCCAGTGGCAGTTGCAATAGATTTTTTATATCTTTCTTATTGTCAAAATTTGCACTGATCTTATCAGAGCTACTATCTATATTCTCTTTGGCATTACTTGTAACTTTCATTTTCTGATGTTTTACTTTATTTTCTAGATTACCTTTACCATGAACATTACCAGTTTTACCATCTTCGACCTCATCTGAGGCATGATGATTATTACCTTGATCAAAGGCTTTTATAGAAGACACATTGTTAATGTGTCCCTCTCCCTCTTCAATGGAACAGGTTACCCAATAAAACCCTTCATCCGTTTCAACAACTTCCTCACTACCTTTCCCACCTTTACTTTGTTCCAAAACTTCTCCAATATTTTCATTTTCCTCTAGATTATTCATTTTGTCCAAATTTTCATGTCCCTCATCTATTGTTATATCTTTCACTGATTCTTCATTTTGTACTACATCAGTATTGCCTTTCAAACAATCAGATTCCACCTTTTTACCTCCATCTTTCTCAGCATCTTCATTTCTTTGATCAGGACCGCCCTGACCAATGTTGCTAGTACTATATCCACTATCAGTACTAGTGTACGAAATACAACTTTCGGAAATGTCACTTCTAGATATTAACGAAAGACCGCTATCTGACATGATACTTCTACTTGTACCATATACAGCACTGTCTGTGATATCACATCTTGATACTCCACTGTCAGAAACCCCACTTTTACTATTTACAGAAACAGAGCTCTCAGACATTTCACTTTTACGTTCACTAATTAACTCATCTATAGATTCATTGATTTCTTCCAGAAATTCCTCTAAATCATCCTTAATTGGTTTTTTATCATCAAGTGAACTGACACTTATGTTTAAATCATCACTTTTTGATGTTGTTTTACTTTCAAGATCCACAGTATTATCACTTTCTTTATCAAATAATTTATCACTCTCGAAATTCCTACTTCTACTTTTCACTTTATTTTTCTCTTTTATAATTCCAGCACTTTTACAATTTTTTGAAATACTACCACTGAATGAAACCACCTGATCATTCAAACATCCATCATTTTCCAATGTTGCCACATCTCTTGAATGCAAACTCATTAATGTACCACCCTCAATTTCTTTATCACTTTCCCCATTATCCAATTGACTGTTATCACCTGTTAGATAAGAAGGCTGTTTGCCATCAATTTGCATATCAGCCTCATTGAATGAGGAAGAATTTTCATGGGTGACCTTAATCAGTGACCCAGATATATGATCGTTTCCTGGTAACTGTAAATGAGATGAAGCTTCCTGGCAAGGTTTTAACTTGGATTTTCTGTCAGCTGGTCTGGCTCTTGAATTTTTGCTAATTGATGATCTGGAACATGAAACATTAGGTGATTTACTACAATCACTTAAATCATCCGTATGATTCCTGTTGCCTGTTTTCAGAACAACCTGTGAACCTTGAGATCTGTTTTTAACATCTTTACAGGTCAATGGCACTCTGAGTTTACTCTTAGGATCTGCCACTTGTTGCTTATTATAATCTCTTGAACTATCACTTTCCACTTTCTTTGATGTCCTTTTGGAAAGCGAATTAATCTTACCTTTCCTAGGAACTCTATCTTGTCCAGAATCCTTACTTTTTTTTATATCTTTTTCCTTTTTAATTTCTTTAGCTTCATTTAATTTTGTACTAGACAATCTTTTCTGCTTTTCACCTCTATCAATCCCATTTATGGTATTATTATTCTTGTCATCTACTTGATCATGTTTAATATCTAATTTTTGCACATCACACAATTTCTTTTTATTTTCTTTAAAGAATTCCACATTATCGTATGAATCTAGAATATCACTTAAAGTGTCTTGGTCACCTTCATTTTGTCTTTCAAAATCTGCAATATATCCTTCATGTGTACTCAAACTTTTACGATCAGGGCGTTCATCCACCGTCAATGAGCTTAGCAATTCATCCTGAAAAAGCAAAACATTTAAATAACTTAATCTCTCCACATATCCTATGATATATCACAGTATAAGACATGCATAAATTATTAATGTAATTTTAACCAAACATAATAAACCGTATAAGGTTGCATATTCACACCTTTTATACTCATACAATTTAGGAAATTCATCTCGTTAAATATATCAAATTCAACACGTAACAGATTTATTTCCTTCTTCAGCGTAAAATAAAACTCCAACATATCAAGTATAGTGATGTTAAAGTTTATAACAAAATATAACAAACACAGTTTTATGTATATCTAAATAGTATACAATGATGGATTAAAAAGCAAAAGAATGTTAAGAAAATGCAAATATGATAAATGTACCTAGGCTATAAATTTGCCATAACCTAATTGATATGAAATTTACAAACCGTAAATGCCATTACATCATGTGTAGTAATTTGATGCTCAATTTAAAACCAATTAGCAGAGTAAATGTTAATCAAGATCATGCTGAATCATGGGATATTTGCTGGATACATTTTACATGAACAATCAAAAACTGACACTGGAGTCACAAATATAGCTTTCACTTTAATTTTAATGTCATTTTAATTCACATTTCAAGTATTTCTTACAAAAATGGACTAAATGTACAATGACGATTGTGTTTTTTGGATGCAGATTTTGTGAAAACTGCAAAAAGTACTCCTAATGGCCTTATCCACATGATTGTGCATTCTACACTTAATGAGGGTCCATCTGCCCTTTCAGGCATTGAGAGTAAGGACCCCATCTTATCCACTAAGTTTCCATAGAAAACTTGCAGCAATTTATTATTTATAACCCTTCCCAAATTTCTAGACAAGAAGTGCAGCATTCCTTAATTCTTCAAACCATTATGTTGCCTACCTTGTTTTTTTTTTAAATTGCTTCACATTTAACATATTGCCAGTGAAAGTTCAAGACAATTTGTCTACTACAAATCTATTAAATCTAAAAGGTATGTCACTCTTAAGACATGTTATTTTAAAATACATGATTAAACACTATATTAAACAGCAAAAAAAAATCTTTTTTGCATGCATTTTACCAGGAAATTGTATAAAAAGGTCTGACACTGATAATTTCTGAGAAATTTCATTGAAATCTTGACAGAAGACTGCAGACAGACAGACAGACTGGCGGAAGGTTAATGACAGCACTTTGTGAGCAGCTACATGCTTATGTTTAAAATAATGCAATGAGGAAGAGGAGCAGGGGAGCAGGGAAATATTTTTGTCTTTCTCCTGTAGTATAACTTGAAAATCATTATACATCAACTGTGTATGACCATAGTTATTAACATCTGAAGAAGCACATAAAGCCCAAGCCTGCAGGGCTAGAGGTTTAATAAGTCCAAGCACCCTTGCATACAAGTATATGTCTAAATCAGTTATTCCATTTTTCCCTTTTTCTGTATTTTGTATAAAGAAACACATTGCTTGTGGCAGGATTTGCACTTCATCGTCATTGCATAAAACTGTTTTTACATTGCATCCTTAAAAAGTTCAAAAATGGTGCATGGTTACAAGAAATTACAAGTTAATGCATGTTTTCTTCTCTGTTAATTTATACCTGCATGCACAGGTTTTATGCAAGGATGTTGGTTAAATGATTCCAAGATGATTGAATAGAATATTGTTCCAGTAAAAATTCTAATCAATGATGCTCTCTCATACTATAATACAAACAGGAGGTGTATGGACTGACCTTACTACAAGTGTGTTTAGATCTGTAGTAAATATTTATCTTCTACTATAACAATGGCAGGTATTTATCAGATATAATTAGTAGACATAAGACAGTAAGTGTTTCTCTTGAAATAATTATCATTCCAGATAAGTGTATATACTCCGGGTAATTTGTCTTTTATCCCACTTTATCACATTACAATAGCAATTCCCAGAGGCAGAAAAACTCTAAATGTTTTTTCCTCTGCTGATTATTGATAATTTACGGCAAATACCGGTACTTCTATTTTTTTTACATTGTACTATTGATTTTTAATTTCAGAATTTTTTAATGGAAAATCCAAAAGTCAGACTACCAAAAAAGATGCTGAATTGCCTGGCTCCTTGATGGTGACTGTAACACAGGTAATTATCCCAACTATTGCTAAACAATATTTTCAAACTGAAACTAATTAAACTATCCTATCAATCATTTTTTTGTGATTTTAAGGGTCAATCATTTAACTAGGAGGAACAGCTTTGGACCATAGTTTCATCATACACAGGTTGAAATTTTTGAAAATATAAATTTTCAAGGGGTAGAAATTTTGAGATTTTTGTCCCATATAATCTGAAGTAATATTTCTTTCTTTACCTAATTAAAGCCTTTCTTCCTGCTGAATATAGTAAATTCCACTTATAAGGATATTCAGGGTGTCTCCGACTTTTATACTATCATATCCTGGTATCGCTATATCCAAGAGGCAAACAATTTGGATACAAGAATCAGGACCAGCAGCAACAGCATTGTTATAAGTAGTATATCATTATAAGTGGACTTTACTGTATATATGTTGTGGTATTTTACTAAGAAATAATTATATTCTAATTAAATCATTGAAACAGGCTTAATATAAACATAAACTGCACTTAAGCAACAACATCCCAATGTCCTAGTAACATAACTTTGCACTACTGACACCCTAACAACATTTTCTGTTGTAAACAACAACATTACAAACATGAAACTGAAAGGAAACAAGATTCTGAAGGAGATAAATTGATACAACAAAATACAGTAGTAAATCAATTAAGCAAGTTACAGACAGCTACCAGGTGATTGAGATAAAGCCATGGGTCACGCTTATTAACATCAAGCTCTTCTTAATTAAGAACCTGTTCCAGGTGAACTACCAGCACTATGCTACTGTACACTTACATATCCCTGGCTAATGCGCTGGCAAGGCCAAGATATTTTAATATCATTTTTCTATGTGTTGTTTTAAATAAAGTTTCAGCACTTGACCCTCATTGCTGTGGAATTCATTAGACACTGGCATTTCTTTCAGCACTTGAGTTCCTGTCCAGAAGTGTTTTAAATGTTTCATTATTATGGTAAGTTTTGCTTTTTTTATCAATGAATTGCAATCAAAAGGTAGGGGGTTAGTGGGGGTGGAGGTGGAGAGAGTGATGAGCATAATCTCCTCATATGGGCGGAGAGCAAACCTCAATTCCTTCAGATGTAAGGGTGGAAAGGGATAAATGGCTATATGTAAGGAAACATTCAAATAAGTAACAAAAACATCAGTGGTTCTAAAACAATGTCCCCTTTTACCTTGAATACTGCAATAAGGGGCAAATGAATATAAAGTTTTAATGACCATTAACATAATTGAATGTAAAGCAAAGGGTAGAATGTTACAATCCAAATTTTCAATTCACAAAGAAGTAAAAATTTAATATGATTATGAGAACCACCAATTTCTCTGGGAGATTAGAGAAAAAAAATAATTACACAATGTAATGATGTTCACTTCTTGATCTTATTAGCTTTTATTACAATTTTTACCTTTCAACCTGTGGAGAGATCCTAAACTTTTAGTCAATTTGCATTTATGAGTTTTGTGATCTGACTGGTAAACACTGCCTTCGAGTGAAAAAAAATACTAATGTGCTTTTTATTGGTTATGCAAAACAAGTCTATATCTTGTCTTGATTCATATATCATTAGACCAGTTTGCTGCTGACAAATCAGATTTTTTATAAAATCTATGGTAAATAAAAACATAGAATAACAAATGAGCCGCGGCATGACAAAACCAACTTAATGGGTTTGCGACCAGCATGGATCAAGACCAGCCTGCGCATCCGCGCAGTCTGATCAGGATCCATGCTGTTCGCTATCAGTTTCTCTACTTGTAATAGGGTTGGTAAGCAAACAGTTGCAAACCCATTACGTTGGTTTTGTCGTGACGCGGCTCAAATATACTTTGTTAATGTCTCTTTTGTCTAATGTGTTTTTTCACACAACAGGTACCAGTCTATCACAGTCTTACCGTGGCCTTAACCAATAATGACCTATTCATCATGGCCACTTTACCGCATTATAATTAGTTGTGTCATGCCTAATTGGGTAATCTGAGTACTCATTTAATACTTATTGTCAATATTTGGGATAATTCTCCTTATGTACATGTACTCTACTTTTAGCACGCTTCCTTTAATACTAAGGTCAATCATAAATGTTGATTTAAGGGATATTACAGTATGGTCCTTCAAAAAATCATGTTTATTTGGTATTATTATCAATATATTTCAATATTCTTAACCAAAACAGTGGTTTATTTATTAATAAATCGTGGCCATATTGTTCAAATATTTGCCAGAAAAAAAAAATTCATGAAAAACTACAAATATTTACAAAAAAGATTTTAGATGAATTAAAGGAAGCTGTAACACTTGAACAAGACAATGTGCATCTGATAGTTTAATATTTTTACGAGGGGCAAAAAAAAGCGAAGTCACGCTTGAACTAAATGAACCTTAGAAAAAACCCAAACATTTTATAGTGCTCAGTTATGTGAAAGCACAATGGCCTAATTTTCCTTCCTACATTTGCATGACTAGTACTATTAAAGTTTTTAAACTAGACTTCATATTTCACGATTTGCAAACCTACTGTACAATGCACAGATGTTTTGCAATACTTTAAAACTATTTAATTCGTTGTGGCAATTAACTTCAAAGAAAAATGTGTTCTCATATTGTAACAGAACACCTGATGACATAAGATATTATCTTCTAATTACAACAACATGCATTATATTACAGGCAAGGTAGAATAACCAATTATCATAATTTGTGGGTTTTTTCTACTATCATGCAACTAATTTTTTCATGAACGGAAAGAAAATAAATATAATAGAATCCAAACATTTCCTCATGAAAAAAATACCCAGTTTTAAGTTACAAAGTTAAATTCATATTTGGCTTTTATTTATATTTATATGAAAACTAGCATAATAGACTATCATAATTAAATAAGAAGTTAGAAGAAAGAGCCTTAACTGTACTTGGCTTTATAGATTCAGTGAAACTAAAATATTAGTAGTTTTGACCAACTAATTTGAGCTTCCACACCTTATGAAAACACTTAATTTTAGTTTATAATTATGCTCTAGTCTCTGCATAAAGAATAAATGTTTGTTTATTATTTGTACAAAGACAATCAAAGAGTAACTTGAAACAAGCACTGAACATCTGTAAAAGAATCATCTTTTGGCTTCACAAAATTTTGTAATTTCCATCAACCATGGTCTTGTCAAGCTATAACAAAGATTGAAAGTCTGAGCAAATAACTAACCTGAGCTTGCTGGAGATAGAGCTCAAGCTCTTCAAAATCTTTCTGAGCTTTTCCACTCATGATATTCTTACATCTTCATATTGCGGGGAAAGCTTTATTCTGAGCTCTGAAACAAAAGATGCAATGGTTAATGATAAATTATGTTCAACTAGATATCTTTTAACTTTAAAGGGACTCCACTGAGGTATTTTGACATGACAGGACTGGATATAAATTTTTGAAGATTAATGTTCCATTTGATGTAGGTCTCGGCCAATAACTATTGTGCCCATTACTTCAGATCAATCCCTCTCTCTGTTTTTCAAGAATAACTATTGTAATCCTGAAAAATTACACAAAATTGAAAAGCATGGCAATTAATGCCTTTCAATCAAATTGGGCTAAGAATAGCACAAAAATATGATTTTCAATTAATTTCAGAATATATTTCTAAGTTATCTCTGTTTTAAGTGCCCCCAAAGTGACATGAATAAGAAATTCAGATTTTACATTTTTAGACTTATGGACCTCAGTGTAGTTCCTTTAACGTATTGTTAAGGATTTGGTATTAGTTTGCCTGGGATGGAACCCATAACCCACCACATACTCTTCCATTAAACCATTGCTGCTTTAAACCGTGAACATGTGTTGCCTCATTATAGACAATTGCATTTTGAAGCTACTGTAGAGGCGACAAAAAATTTTTACAAAAAAATGTTCGTGCTTCATATAGCAAAACATATACCCGTAAAATTCCTAATATAAACGCCCCTTTTCCCCTAATAAAACAGGCCCCACAGGCCTATTTGATTTTTAAGGGAAAAAAACCCAAATTTTTATTCTATCAAGTGACTGAACTCATAATTAAAGCCAAAATAATTTTAACACTTTTTATGTTATTACCAACATTTTGCTAACACTAAATTTTATTCTACAGTGATTTTTGAATTTTAGATTAGTTGATATTGCCAATAATTAGCCCCCGTTTTGGGAAAAATGTTTAGCCTGGGGGCGTTTAATGAGGTTACATATGTTCTTTCACATTTTGAAAAAAAAAATGCTTTCTAAATATTAATCACTTTGTCCTCCCACACATTAATATTCTTCTAAAACAGGCCTATAATAATCAAATTATCAAATGTAGCCACTTATCTAAATGAATTTCCTAGAAGTATTTAGTGATTAATCATTCTTCAAGGCCACAAACACACCTGGAACGGAAGTATTGATAGATTTTTTGACAATTACAGAGTTAAATTTCAAAGTTAAATCCCTGTTAAAATCATTCCTCATGAAATGCTAGTATCAAGTGACAGAACTGCATCTGTAATAAAATCAATCTTAAACACTCCATAGTGATAAAATGTAGCTACCAGCCATGTTTACTATAAGCAGAAATGTTTTCTGCTTTTTCCTTTAATTTTGAATTTAAATTTTGACTGTCAGTTGAATATTCATCTAATATTTAAGTTACGAATTAAATCATTTTATTACCTCCCTTTTTGTTATTGTGCAACATTCCTACATTATTATGCCATTCAATTGTTTTTATACTAGGAAGTATGTGGAGACAGAGAGGCTAGTCGTAAAGATGTCTCTGCCTCCCAACCAAGGGAGCGTGGGTTCAACTTTTCCTGGGTCATAACCAGACTTTCATGACATCAGAACTGATTAGTTCTAGGAAACAAAGCCGAGAGTTCATCAAATAAGATTCAAGTTTATATCGCAATAAAGTTCAAATAAATAAGAGTAAATGAACATTTAAACAAATGCATTACAAAACTATAGAAAAAACAACAACTTTAAATTGAAAAGAAAAATTTCAGCAATAGGCAAAAGTCATTGTAAGTGATGGGAATGTTTTGTTCCACTCTGTATATAATGACAGACAGGGTTATTTCAGGTGAGACTATAGTGATCATGACAAATGGAGGTATTCTCCGGCAATAAGAAAGTAATAAAGTTACTATGAGAGTAGACAGTAGGTATATATATAATATATTTATCAATCTAGTTGTTATGAATGGAACTTGGCATGAAGTAATTTCTTCTAGTCACAGGTGGTTTATTCATTATCATACTGATGCCAATACTATGTAAATCTATGGAAAATACTCCATATAAACAGGAGATTCACAATAAAAAGTAATTTACATAATTGGATATTTTTAACATATCAAGAGAGAGAATCTTGTTTCAACACAAATTTTCTCTCCCGTCTAATAGTAAAGAAGATTTTTTATTATATTCATGTTACCAAGATTTTATATTATATTCATGTTACGGAAATTGATTGAAAATATAGCAATTTCTATAATAGCTGTTGAGGGAACCCAGGTGCTTTCTTAATTAGAATGGATAAACATTGATATATTATTGTATAAACAGAGGGTTTAGCTGGGGATTACGTTCTGATGTCCAGCAGACTAATGAGATTGAGATTGCCTCGGGCAACCAACTGCCACTGGTGTTCTATAGAATATACCGATACTGAAGTCAAAGAAAATCATTGCACTTTTCAACCCTAAAAAAACAGCTCAAAAATAATGTTGCAGGTGGTATTAATAATAAGTACTATATTTAGATAGGATAAACATAAATTCTTGACCGATGCCACCAGTGCAGACAAGTGTCAGTCAATACACCTGTGTCGGCTGATCATGGTCTGCACTGTTCACTATTCAGTCAGTTCAAATTTTAATAATTCCCCTAAAAAAAGATGAGCAGTCTTATCTGGATTGAAAAATGGACATGTCCATTTTAAACATCAAATATTTACCAGAGTAAGGGTTGAATATGAATATTTACTACTAAAGCAACAAAATTTAATATCAGTTCTTGGGAATCAGACTACTTCAAAAAATCAAAGTGAACAAATATTATAAAGCCAAGGATTTCATAAATAAATGCTATATGTATCTAACAGGAATTGAATTTAAGCATTTTGTAAACAAATTAATGATAAAATGTATTTAGCACACATATTTATACCGGAGTTTATTGAGAAGATTTTAAGTATTCCAGCTTGTAAATAAATACACAACTTAATTACTTAGGAATATGAAATTAAAGTGCTTAATATAACTAGCAATAAAATTGAGCACATACAAGAGCCAGCAATTTACTTAATATCTTTAAGACTCTATGAAAAAATATTTTTTTATAAAAAAATTTATGCTTCTCCCAAAATGCCCCTCACAAAACTTAAAAATATAAAATTTTATAATGTTACTGAAGTTAGGAAAATTTTATTTTTAGTCTGAATGCCTTGACCATTTTGAAACCCCTAAAGGGGGCTTGGAAGTATAGCACATAAAATTATTGGTATCCAGTAATAAATTGATGGCTAAGTGGATGGAAACAATTTAAAAATGCAAACCAGTTATTTTCATATAAAAAAAATTTTTTGGTGCTTGTTTAATAGCAAACAGACAAAAACATATATTTTCAGAAAAAGCATTTCAAGGGCAATAAACTAGGAACCAATCAGCAGGGTACCAGTAGATGTAATCTAATGAGATATGTTGACTTGATACTTTGAAAAAATCATATCGGCACCGTAGTGCAGTAACAGGTTAACTTCTATTAATTATACAAGGAGTTAATTCGTTACTGAGTCAAGGTGACGATATGTAAAAAAAATCTTCAAACATTTTTTGATTAATCTTTTTAAAATTCAATGCCTATAATTAATAAAATCTTTACAGTTTTCCTCACATTTTAAAAGTTTAATCACACCAGCAGCATGATAGGCTGTAAAACATCACCTGTTAATTCTTATAATGGATATTTCATTAAAGATTAAAAAAACATCAAACAAGAATATTAAACTAATCCTCAACTCATGATATAAACACAGCATAGTTTCTAAAAAATATAAAATCTTAGTAACAAAAAAACACCAAATCATGGGGTAATTATTTCACCTGTTAGAAAACTATAAATCACTACTAAGAAATACACATAAATAATCACAGATATCCCTTTGTAAATTTTCTTATCTCACAAAAAAAGTTTGGCTTCTATTAAGTCTTAAATCTTCTTTCCTACCAGCAATAAATGTAAGCTGTTGATGCCAAGATTTTTTTATATGATTTGAAAAAAAAATTTGTCTGGAATCATACCAGGTACCTGCCTACCAGGAGCCAGTTGTAATTGCTTTTTCCTGACCTCATTTTTTTATGAATGAAAATTTCTGATAGTATGTACCTTTATAGTGGTTTATGCTGGCAGATAATATAATTTGCAGGAAATAAAAATTATGATAGTAAAAAAATAAGCAAGAGAATATGTGACCTGACTAATATAATTCTGGTACATTATTCATGTTCAGCATTTTTTGTATCTTTTAAGGCCACACACTGTCTTCATGTCTGTCTAATTTTTTATTTCAGAAATATTGGTTTACAAAACTGTAATGCAAAAGAAAAAAAAAATCTTTTTAATGAGAGAGGAAAATTTTTTCAATGAAGTTATCTTACCAAATGATTCTGTCCTGTAATCCAGCCTATTGAAAATTTAGAATATTCTGAGTTGTTAAGAGATTTCAATGAAATTTCAGTGACAAATTAGTACTACAATACATAAAAGTCAACAATATTGTGTTTGAATCTTTCAAATAAGTCTGCTAGGTAAGGGGAGAAAAAATTTTGAATAAATTTAAATTTTCCCTTTAAAACAGGTAGTTTTCATAGTTGTAGGTCTTAAATTTCCATAGTATTTCAAATTTTCAAATACTTCTCTTAATATAAATTTGAAAAATAAAATTTCAAAACAAATTGCCATGTCTACAGCAAATAATTATCCTGTTATTTTTAAAAATTTAAAATTCATACCTTTACTATTGGTTACAAAAGGTTTTAAAGTTGATTTTCACCCGTCCGAAAACAGAAATACTTTGTTGAAAATTTTCCTTTATCAGAAAATAAAGAATTATTATGGAACTAAATAAAATTAACATTAAATTAAGCATTATATCTCCACTTTGTATGCTAATAATTTTCTATATTTGTCAATAGTGTCATAAAATATGTAATTTAATAACGTAAACAACTAAGTCTAAACAAGCTAGTACCAGTATATTAAAATACTTCCCTAATACTATTATTATATTCAATCAATAGCCGTACCCCCCCATTACAGCATACATTTCTTTTTGCGTTGTGAAATATTAATTATTTCAATAACGATGACCGCAAAACAAAATTTTACAATAATTACGTTTTAAGCTGATTCATTTAGCAGAAATGATATTTATCACACCTGTTTGTAAAAACAGGAAACAGCAATTTCGTAATGACTGACCCATTGTCCAAATTTATTGATAATTTGTGAATTCAAACATTTTTCATAAAATTCCTAAAAAGGCCATTTTGGCATTATTGGTTGCGTTTATGTGCGTTTTGAAAGAATTCATATAGAATTGTAGTTTATGACAGTTATAACAGAAAATCTGGTAACCAAGGTGTCCCTGAATTCTGTACCGTGGCACACCTGTATTCACACCTAACTTCTCAAAATAAGTTATTTGAAACAACTATGACCTTAAGGACAAATTGAACTTTATTGCTGCTGTGGCACAAAATCTTGCTATAAAACTACGCTATTGACATTAATACTCTCCGAGCTAAATGAATATACAATTTTTTACTTTTGAAATAAAAATCGTACAAAATAATTGAAACTTTTTGTATCATGTCAACTCTTTTTTCTTCAAAAATTAAAGCAACATGGGATTAAAAACAGCCAAAAAACAGTTCTGAAAGTCATTTGTTACCTAATGACCTTAACAAATCACATCTTATCTTAAAGGCATAGATGATTATAAGGATCTTTAACTTGTAATCACCAATCAGAAGCGACCTTTACCCTCCCCACTGTCAAAATTACCCTTTATACCCGTCAAAATTACCTGTTAAAATCGTTAGATCACAAGAAACTTCTGTTTGTATGCGAACAATAAGGCTTGACATTGATTACTAACATAATTATTTTCTTTACAGATCAGTCTAGTTGGAAACCCATTACATTCATATATCTGTTAAAGCCTTTTTTGTTCGTATTATCGTATAATCTACGTTACGAATTGCTAGCACATGCTTAAACCGTTTGTTACAATTAGTTCTATCCATTTCAAAGTGATTTATGCTTTTTTCATCTTTTATGATAGTACTAATTTAAAGAAATCGACACAAGACATTATAAATCATTATATCCTGCCTTTACAACAAAAAACTGACTTCTTGACAAAAAAATTGTCTCCGGCAAAAAGACGTCTGCAAAAATATACCGTATATCTAAAATTTTGACACGTAAAAATTCAAATTTACAGCTTGTAAACAATTTCTGAAAAGCCGCATGTTTTGCTCATCATCTCCTACTCAGCAAAAACTTTTTTTCATTGCCGTAACGTAATTTTACTCAGAATAAATTTAAGTTTATTTTTACTTACTTGCTATTTATTTCTGCACTTGTTGAACATATTATCTCCAACTTATATTCTTTCACAAACTGAAACAAGAGTGCAAGAAATGAAGAGAAACATTTCAAAGTAAAATCATTTCTTTTTATATTGTTCTTTACCGGTACTTTTTTACGATTTAGTGCCGATTGAAAATGTGAAGTGAATTTTAATGTGTTAAGGTACGATGTCCCCGAGGTTTGAATATTGTAATGCACATCTTAATTATCATGATCAAATGAGCCGCGTCACGACAAAACCAACATAGTGCGTTTGCGACCAGCATGGATCCAGACCAGCCTGCGCATCTGCCCAGTCTGATCAGGATCCATGCTGTTTGCTTACAAACCCTTTAACAAGTAGAGAAACAGATAGCGAACAGCATGGATCCTGATCAGACTGTGCGGATGCGCAGGCTGGTCTGGATCCATGCTGGTCGCAAACCCACTATGTTGGTTTTGTCATGACGCGGCTCAAATGTACAATGTCTTAATGAGAAAATGCTAAATAGCAAAAAACAAACACAACATCCAGATAACAGCATTCCTCTCCTCTCGTTTTCTAAGTGGTTGAAATATATTATATTCCTTTTGCTAGTGGGAATTTTTCTTCTTTTTTTCTTTTCTTTTTTTTATAAATTTGTTATGTGTACCACAGAACTTTCCAGAATTTTGAACTTATTTAAAGTAATATAATCGTCTATTTCAGTTTTGATCAGAAATAGCTCACAAGTATTTACTCTTCAAAAGTATTTACATAAATTTGCCTTTAATTTAAAAGAATTTTTAAAAAAATAACGTGTTTATCATATCTTATGATTTTTAATCTACACTTAATAAAGTGACAACCGTTTTTTTGTTTTAAAATGCACTTCATAAATTTGATCATAATGAACGTTTACAATTTTATCCGAAGATATAATTGTGGGTCTATGTACTCTGAAAATTAAAAGCACTTAACATTTTGTTAATGCTGTTGAAAATGAGGTACGTAATATATAAATAATTTGTATGACAGGGTTTTTAACTAATATCATCAAAGAACGCCACTTATAAAAGTGAAAATTTTAATTCAGCAAGCATTTGTAATCTTGAGGAAATCTTAATGTTTTAAAGTGCTGTTTGTACGACAAAGTATCTAATGAACTCAGGTCCCATTATTGAGAGTATCTTATATGTATCAACCCTCAGAGTGCAATACTATTATGGTAAAAAGGGCCGCATGCTTACAGAATATAGCCACTGGTAAAGAGCCTGCCAGCATACAGGGTTCTATGTGATCAAACCCGAGAGTCTGAATCTTTATTGTTAGGTACACCATTTCATGTACATATACTTTGAAACTGATGTCCTTTTTATTGGATAATAAACAGTTACAAATTATATCTTATTTTGATCGCTAAAAGATAAAAATATATACAGAGGGGAGATAATTAAGCATAAAAGCCCTTCAGAAGTTCATTTTTGATCTTGAATACTAATATCAAGTTTAAAATTAGTTTTTGAGAAATTAACCTTAAAATGGTTAACCAGGGCAAAAATATCTAAGTCCAAAAAGGAACACATAACATTTATGATATGACTTCACATTTTTATAATGAAGAAGTACGTTTAGAGGGTTTGAAGTGAAAAGTAAAAATAGTTTTTGAGCAAATGGACCTTGACCTACACATGCATAACATATTACAGGGACCAGTGACCTTGACCTTTCACCTTTTGACCTGAAAATAAGTGTTAGTGATATAACTCATCAAGGTGCAGTTTCAAAGTAGAAGGGTTGCTAGTATTGAAGTTTGTTATGACTTAAAAATGAAAACTTAACCAAAAAAATCACGGTTAACCAATGCAGACGCGAAGGCCGCCGAGTAGCGGTCATGACAATAGCTCTTCTGTCCTTTCTAAAAAGTGGCGCTAAAAAGAAATGTAATGATAAATGATACTTTGATTGGCATGTTATTATTTGTGTCTGTAATATTACTATAACTGAGTTATAGAATACAAATGCACTTGTTATATAACAGAAATTTCAACACTTCAAATGAGATTTTCAAGTGTTCATTTATTTACACAGGATTATACTCTTCTAATTTGATAGTTCAAATTTAAACCAAAATCTAATTTAAGATAAGAAATATTAAATTTAGTGCATTCCATTCTAAATCTGGCTACATAAATCTATGAGTGCATTTATCTGTTTATTACAGGCTTTCTTGAGGGATCAGTATTTATTTAACTCAATTCTAAATAGTGCATTCCATAGGTTCATCTAAATACAATTTTAACTTTTCCTTTACGTCCACAGAGTGTTGCACTTAAATAGTAAATTTCTTGTCCCTAAATGTTTTGTATTCCAAAATTTAATCATGTTCTGTGTCCAATTACATATTTTTATAAAAATAACCTTTCTTTATTATTTTTTTTTTCAAATATTTTTATTTGGATACCGCCTTTAGATCATTATTTACATAAGTGTAGTGTAACACTTGATCACAAACCAGAACAGTATACAATTGGCTTGAGCAGAGAAGTTGGCACCAGCATGTGGAGATATGGTAGGTATTTGTTAAAGAATCCAGAATACTAATTAAATAGGTCAACAAATGAATGTTAAATCCAAACAAACCAAAAAAATAAAGAAAAGACAATTTCATTTTTATGGATCATATATTACCTTCTCCTTATTTTTCTTGCTTTATTTGGCAATATTTAAGTATCTTAATATAATAATAAAATAACAACAATAATTTACAAGTGGCACACCTTTTAATGTTACGTACATTTCACTAGATATTTAAATGTATTTGTTTTACCTAAAAGTTCAAATTTTAAACAGTTCAGCATTAAATGTTGCTTATTCTCAAAATCATATAACAATGATCAGCTTGTTACATTTGCATGCACATCAGTGAAACATGCCCTGAATTAACTTGTCAAAAATTGTCACATATATTCATTTAAACATTATGCATTAAAACACAGAATACATTATCTGATTAATGCATTTTCTCCCTAAAAAAAAAGTTTCAAAATTAGCAAATTATACAACCAAGCCCATCAAAAATCTTCTTTAATAAACCATTCAAGTTTTATTTACAACTGACATGAAATCGTAAAATGATTGTGGTCTACGCTAAAGCAATTAAACAGAAATTACCTGTACGAAAATTCTGAGCCAATTCTGTACAGACTCTGTACCAACTCTGGTTGTTATAGAGGCAGATTTTCATTTTTCTGTACAGAGTTGACACCGACACAGAATTGGACACAGAATCCGCCTAGGAAATAGGTGATTTTCTGTGCAGAATTAAACAGAATCAAAAAATTTTCTGTACAGAAAAATTTTCATACAGATATTTTGCTCTTAGTTATTTATATAAGACAGAATTTCACTACTTAGAAAAAAAATTGAGGCAGAATTTACATTAACACACAGAATTTTAACACTTAGATAAATCTTGAGACAGAATTTACTTTTCTAGCCAGAATTTCACTCTTGAGTTAATCTCAGAGTAGAAGAATATTCTGTAATACCAGGTGTAACCCCCATGTAACCCCTGTTGGTCAATTCAAATCTCTCAGGCCGCCACGTGAGGTTTTATTACACAAAGTGTCTTCATATTGGCAAAGATTATGTTTTGTTTAGTTTATTTTTCTAATGATAAGTTAACAAGTTAGTTGTTGTGAAGTTGTGAAGAGAAATCATGACTGTAGAGACTTGAAATTCTCAGATTTAGGGGCCAAAGAGGAATTATGATGGAATTATAATCAAAACCAGAGGTAAGATTTTGCAATGTTTTCTTTGAATTTTTGGGTATACCTTCCACAATTGATAAAAGAAATTATTTATACATCTTTTAATAGTCTATGGATTATCTATATTAGTTGATTTTACTATGATTTGAGACAGACCACTATGGTCTAATGAGTATAAATGCACTGAGGTCAAAGCTGGGACAGTGAAATTATAAGTTCATAAATTGCTTTTTGATAAGTCAAGATCTATTTTTTTAAATTTCCTATCTTGCTCTTTTATGCAGTAAATAGTTTGGCTATTCTATAATTCAATTCATTTAGCTTATAACTCCCGGCAATTGTGTTACTATTTTAAGTTATGTTGCAATTTACATGTGTAAACAATTGTAACACAAGCTTTGGTCAGGGATGATATATGTAAACAGTCAGTGACTTTGATGTTACTCAGGGTGCTATATCAGTGCTATACAAAAAATAGGGATACAATTGTAACTGTTTTATATACACATTGAAATATTTCACAAATTATGCATATCATTTAATAATAGAATGAACATTATTCAAATTCCTTTTTTTTTTACTCTTTAGATTATGTCAGGATGTGTGGTGCAAAGACAGAGACAAGCCAATTCCTGATGACACTGTGCCCTCAACAAGGCTATTACTCGTTGGATAGACTACTCCAGGAAAGAAATGAATAAAAATTGTTAAATGAAATTAATAAATAAAAAATGTTCAAAAGGAAATTGATTTTGTTTTTAGCCAAAAAAGAAAATCTGTACAGAATATTTTCTGTACAGAATTTTTTCTGTGCAGAATTCCCTTTCAGATATTTTCTATGGACAGGGTTAATTCTGTACAGAATATGAAGAAGCCCAGATTTTTTTCTGCCCAGATTTTTTTTCTGCCCAGAATTTTTTTTTCTGCCCAGATTTTTTTCTGCCCAGAAAATATTCGGCTTAATTTAAATATTTCAGAAAAAATCTGTACAGATTTTGTTCTTTATCCTTATTGCTAAAATCTATTAATAGAATTCTGGTTCAACTTTGTTTCATTTAACCAGATTTTTTTCTGTACAGACTCTGTACAGAGTTTTCAAAATAAAGTCTGTACAGATTCTGTCTGCATTCTGCCCAGACTTTTTCGTACAGGTAAGCTCCCAGTTTTATGCGATTTAATTCCTTATACTTCACCTCACAATCCTCAAACACAGGATATCTGTTAACATTCAATTCTGTATTGAAACAAATTTAGCATTTCAAAAGGAAGATTTAAACATCATAAAATATTTACATATTGCGAAAGATATATATTGAACATTTTAATTAGCTACTTTATACGTAAAGTTGAACCTTACTTTAGAAATATATGTTAAATTTTTTGCGGTTATTTTACACAAGTTTAAATACGAGTTTTTCGTTCTCTGATTTTATAATAGTTTGATTGAAACATTGTTAAATAATATATTTAAGATCTAAATTCATTGCAGATCTATAAATTGTATGTTTATTTTCGAATTAACATATTTTAACACAAGAACTGTGGGTTCAAACCCTACTTAGGTCACAATCATGTTTCTTCATATCACACCAGTACTGGTTAGTTTCTTTGAAAGCAGACTTGAAAGTGATACAATGCAAAAGATAATACAAAAATATGTTTCAAATTCTAGCTTAAATAAAAATGTTTAACCAAAGTTTCAAAAACTGAACCTTACTTTATTTCTACACTGATATTAGATTCAACTACATTTTATTGTACAAAAAAAATTAAATTTACCTTTAGCTCTTATGTATGAACACTATGATATTTTCCCTCGCAATAGGTTTCCTTGCTTTAAAGTCGGCTAATCCAATGTTATTATAATGAAATATGAAATAATTACTTTCCCAGATGAATAGCACAGATAAAGCCAAAGTTTTGCGAATTTTCAAAGTAAAAAATTGATAAAGTTTTACTCTATATCACAAAAGAAAGAATAATTGTGCCAATTTTCCATAGCATCTTGGCTTTCCCCTGGCTCCCAGCCATAAAATTGGAAACCAATATGCAAGCACTTATAACTGTAAACACCGGGCCAGTTTTGCAAAGAGTATTTTCCAATATCTTCTGGTAATTTTTCTATTCATTACAAAACATTAAAAGCTTCCTCCCTATCACTTATTGTTAAACATCAATCTCCTCTCTAAACAGTTTCATTCTCAGTGTAATAATCATTAACGATATAATTGCCTTCTTTCAGTTAATTGAAGTTAAATCTTTAAACCTATTTAAAGAGAGACGTCTCTGTATTTAATCAGAACAAAAAAAGACCATTGCTTTCAGTCTTAAGTCATACTTATTTCCATGAAACTTGGATTGTGGTGCAAGCTTTGAGCAGTTTCTGTAAATAACACTTGTGTAACTTTCCTTAATACACCACCAACACCGATGCAACATAAGGAAGTCTGGTTGTGTGCTCAATAGGTCTTCAATCTCTAGTGGCAAATATATAAAGCACTTAGTTTAAACATTCAAATATTATGGTGGTATTCAGGTTGTGAAGAAAGATTTAAGTTTATTTCAACCTCTCTAAAGTCCACTTTTTAGAACTAACTTAAGTATTGGTGTCATATGAGGGGACATGGTCATGAGCCAAGTAAGGTTTAAACCCATGAACCCCGACTTAAGAATCACAGACACTTTAATCACTTTGTAAGGTAACTACTCAAGCACTTTTACTGAACTGATTATTTTACATTTACAGTTCTGTATTATGTGGTAGAAAAAGGAAGAATATAAAGAGACTACATTTCAACACCAGATTAATATGGACAATAATTTCTTAATTATGCTTACTGCTGTTTCACTCTTTATCCATTTATATATTATTTGGTTGAAATGTATTTATTTAAGCTCAATTGCGAAACAAGTTCTTTCAACTTCATATAATATTAATCACTTTGGAGTCCACTTCCTGGAACCAACCAGTACTGGTGTCATATGAAGAAACATGGTCATGACCCGAGTAGGGCTCAAACCCATGACCTCTGGGTTGAGAGACAGACACTTTAACCACTTAGCCTCCACTCCCCTTCATATTTTGCATGCTTTTCATAATTTTGAATGCACAACTCTATCTTCTCTCCTTGACACTATAATAATATAATTAGTATATAATTCTATATCATTTATACAAGGTTTTATAAATCCATTTCTTAATAACAACCACAATGATGTCAAATTATACAAATAAAACAATCATCTATGAAACAAGTCTCTAAACCACAACATTTCATATAATCAACAAATGAGCCACGTCATGACAAAACCAACATAATGGGTTTGCGGCCAATATGGATCCAGACCAGCCTGCGCCTCCGCGCAGTCTGATCTGGATCCATGCTGTTGGCTATCAGTTTCTCTACTTGTTATAGGGTTTGTAAGCTAACAGCAGTGATCCTGATCAGACTGCGCGGATGCGCAGGCTGGTCTGGATCCATGCTGGTCGCAAACACGCTATTATGGTTTTGTCATGACGCGGCTCAAATTTTTTATGTAAATAGGCACATATACTGTAGAATTAAATTTTCATTGCAGCAATGGTCTCGCTTCTAATTAGCGTAGACAAAAAGACTGTAATATATTTAATTATAATCCAGCTTGATCCCTACGGTAATTAAAGGGCATGGCTGATTTTGGTTAAGTCACCAATCATCACAAGAATTTTAATTCATTAATTGACCTTAATTACTTCAGGCTAATTTACAGTTTGTATAATACACCCAAATAAGTTTGTTTCTAGTCATCTCACAATTAAAATAAACAAAAAGTAGCGCAAGTTTCTTTCACAGAAAATATATGAAAAAGTTATTTTGAAAATGAAATATAGAATGCTCTAATAAATGCAATAAAAAGTTTAGGTTCAGCTGTAAAAATCAAGGGTCACTTAGTATACCGGAAAACAGAAACATTATATTTGGCATATTGGTATCAGGATTTTATGTCTGCAAAAAGGGAGCCAGTGGCTTATCAGTTAAATTACACCATAGATAACACTGTTCTACATGTACATAAACAACACTCCTCACACATTTATTTTAAACTCAGGGTTCACATGCAACAATATCAGTGTGTTTCCAGACAAAGAATGTACATGTACTTATTAGAAAGAATAATTTCATGTCATTTTCAGCATAATATCTCACTAAATCAACTTTTGTCTTCAGCTAATCTTATTAAAGGGACTCCACTGAGTTGGGGTTTTTTTACCTGACCGGACTGAAAATGATTTTTACGAGATTACTGTTTCATTTGATGTAGGTCTAGACTACTAACTTGTAGTTGCAAAATTTTAGATCATTCGTGCACTCCATTTTTCCAGAATAATTATTCTAATTGTAAAAGAAATGATCCAAATTGAAATGCGTTAAAATTGTTAATAAGACTTTATCTTACTACCAATAAACCCTAAAAAGTACCACGCTAAATATCTTTAATGGACTTGCCCCTCTATAAATCTGGACAAAATCATTCATATCTTTAAATGAAAATTATTAAATGTATACTGACAGCAATGTGAAAAGTGCAGATCATGATAAAATAGAATGGATGTGTCAGCTGATCTAGGAGGACACTGTTGATTTGATAGTTCTGCATATGATAGACAAAATTCTGTACCTTTAACAACTTCCCCTCAATTAAACAACAAAATGGAAGAGAAATTTAGAAAGTCACCCATAGTCTTTCAGCAAATCTAAATTTTGCCATCTGCATAACCAAGAATTTATAAATTCTAGGCTAAAATGTTCTTATTAGTACTAGTAATGTTCTTGGCAATCTTATTGCACTGAGTGAGGAAAGTTGAACATTTGTTAATTATACTTGGGTAAAACCAGTGCAAAAAACCTAATGACTGCACAATTTGTTTGACATTCTATTTATAATGACAAACATATATAGCTTCTAGTACTCTATAACATTATTACACTTTTGTAATTAGCTATTAAAGAGATGATTTTTCTGAATTTAATGGAAAGACCAATTGACTGACTGGAGTTTATATCATACGGAATAACTTTATCAAAATAATGTTATTTTATTCAAATTACATAAACAACCGACAACCTGTAATTCAAGTACACTATGACACCAAAGCACTGAAAATGATATGCGATAAGGAGACAGTTTGTTTTACTTCTAAGAGAAAAAAAAGCAAGATAGCCTTATATAATAAAGTGAATATCTATGTGCAGCCAAATTTTACCTTATCTTTACAACATTTCTATTCACAAACTTCAAGATTTCCTGTTAAAATTTCCCATTTTACACCTGTTGATGTTCCCTCCAGTACAAAGTACTTACACTTTTTACATGTTATCACTACAGAGCAAAAACACTGTAACTGGGTGCCTACAAACATAATCACATAATAATGATAATTCAGTTTTGTTTTCACTTGTTGAGACACATAGTTCCCAACCACGTGCATACACAGAAAATGCATCAAAGTACCATACAAACACTTAAAAATAAATGAAAACCAAAGGTGCATTCCTATTTCCTATATACCTCTTTTATATAAACACAATCTGGTAGGAGTACCTCTTTAAAATACAGTTTTTAAATACAGACCAGAAATACCACATCACTTTAAAAGAATGACTTTGAATGCTGCAATAAAATCTCATGAAAAAAATGTAATAAATGTAATAATAATGTAATTAAAAAAAAATTTACACAAATAATTATATCATTTTCGAAATTATTTATATTTTTTGGTTAATTTGTGCAACGATGATTTAACTGCAAAAAGATATGTTACATTATAAAGGGCCATAACACTTCATAAAAGAAAAATCTTAACTATTAACAGCTCTTGACTGCTTTAAAGCAAATTCTATCGTTATATCAAACTCATTGAGCATCTACACTGATGAAACACGAGCAAGTTTGCAACATTTCTTCAAGAAAAGCTTTGAGAGTGGAATTTATTTTTAATGTGATCATTCTTAAAAACAAGAAGCTGTAAACATGGAAATATTTTATTAGTTTAACAAGTATTAGCAATTCAAAAATGCTAGCCGGGTATCAAGAAAAAAATTTTGTGAAATAATTCTTTCTGAATAATAAAGCGGCAATAAAAATGATAATGAGTGATAATGATAAATATAGTG